ATAATCACCAACTGAAGCTTAAATGAACCCATTAGTTAATCTAACTAGAGCTTACAAATACAAACCAATACAAAATAATTATTGTTTACTACGGGAGCACCAAGAACTTCACAATTGAATGAGCTGCTCCATTTTCTGCCCATTTTAAATTAATTTCCTAGAGGATTTTTCAGTTATAAGTTCATGTAAACAATGTCTGTGGTTTCAGAATTTCCATGGCTTACCTGCCTCAGTTTCTCCATATCTCCAGCAGTCTCCCCAACAGGTAGCAAACATTCCTTTGGCCCCATTTGTATCAACAGTGCTTCAAGGTTGGAAAACTGATCATTATCTGTAAATTCAGATACTTCTAGTTTTCTTGCCAGTGAATCCACATATCCTACTCCAACAACTTTCTGTCCATCAACTGAGGACAGCTTAATGGCTACAACACCAACCGAAGAGGACATATCATGGTTACTAAAAAGAACATCCTCAAATTGAGCAAGGTTACCTGGAGAACCCTATTTGAGGAAAGAATAACACAGGCTTAATTTCCATACAAATACAGCAATGAATATCAAAACATTAATCTGGATTTTTCTATACACTTATTTAAATTATCTGATACAATGTTACAGGGGCCGCTAATCAAATGCACTTCTATTGCAACAACACTCTTCCTCTCTCTCCCCTCGGAGAACTGCGAGACTAGAAAAAATATATTTCATGTCAATAATTTCAATCAATGTATTTTTTTTCATAGTCAGAAGGCTTAAATGTCTTTGCTCAATAATTTCTCCTCATCCCACAAATGTCCCTGTTTATTAAAATGTTTATTAAACAGTTTAGGAAAATAAGCTAAAATTTATCCAAATCAGAGATATGACACAATTACCTAAATATTTCTACCTCATGATTCCTGAAACAGAATTTCTTTGTTTCTTTTACCTATCTATTCAATCCATTGTTTTTCATGAATTTCCACACATGAAGCTGTATGTTTGTATTTAGCTTTGTGGCTTAAGAAGGAAATCAAGAAAGTAAATATGGTTACATTCCCAATCAGCTTTATACAAATATTTCCCACAAGAAGGTTTGATCAAAGCTAAGGTGAAACTGCTGATTTTAAAGTAGAGAAATGTAGGAGGTAAGTTATGATTCTAGACAATAGAACAAGCAAAAAAAAAACCTGCATCTTTTAAAGCTGTATTGATAGGTGGGATTATATTGGTAGTTTTGGAAGTTTTTCCATTTTCCTCCCAGTCATAAAGTTAATGTATTTCATATCATTCTAGTTTTTCTAAAAATGAGCAGGGAAAGAAGAGCCATTTGCTCAAAAGTAGGGACCTGAATTTCACCACCAACTACCGTTGTTTCCCGTCATATATATTTTTTCCCTCCAAAAGAGGCACTGGTTTTATTTTAAGGGGATCTTATTTTTTTTCACATACAAGAGACGGAGAGTGTGGGGGCCAATGGGAGTGGGAGCACTGCTACTGCTGGCCAAGCCCACTCCATCCCAACATCTGGTTGCCTGCGGCTGCAATGACTCAAGCCCTTGGCGTGCCTTGGTCTCCGCCCACCCTGCCTGCTGGCCCTGCTGCTGCTGGGACACTTATCGGCTGCGGTTTGGCGCCAAGCAGCTGCCCGCGCTGCTTCTGGCCTTGCAGGGGCTCTTTGCCCTCCTGGCCGTGCTGCTCTGGGCCACCCTGCTGGACTGCTCCTGCCTGGCGTGGGGCGAGTTGGCCCAGATCTACTAGTACCATACGACCTCCAACTCGCCCTGCCACCACTGGACTGCCAGGGCCCCTTCACCAGCGGTCAGCAGTGGAACCGCACCGCCCACTCCTCCGACTTCGGGCTGCTAAGCGCCAACCTGCACGTCTACTGAGCCTGGTGCTCTTCAGGCCCTGGTGGGCACTGCATCTCTCATGCCAGCTGTGTGAGGTGGGCGTGGGGCTGCTACCTCACCTGTGGCTGCTCTGCCACTGGCTTGCCTTCCACCTGGCCCGGCCCATCCAGCAGGCTGGTGCCGCCACCATGAGGGATAGCCCCACCCTGCCTTGCACAATTGGTATGAGAGCTGCAGCACCCGCCAGGGCTGAAAAGCATGGGGCTGCCCCTGACCCCTGCCACCATGGAGCTGGAGAGCTTGCCACACCACCATCCAGAGGCCCTCTGTACAATCAGACCTTCCAACTTCGCGAGATCTTTCTTTTTCACGAGAAGTTGGGAGGTCTGATTGAACTTTTTTTTTAGCCCCACAAATGGCGGCGGAGAAATGCGACGGAGAAACACAATGGAGAAACGGGACATAGCTGAAAAGCAGGTTAACGAAGAAATGCTTGAAATACTTGGGGGAAGCGAGGGAACCGCAGCCAATAAGTGTCCCAGCATCAGCAGGGCCAGCAGGCAAGGCAGGTGGAGAGTGGGGCACACCAAGAGCTTGGCCCGCGTGTGCCACGAGAACAGCAGCTGAGTGGCGACCAGAGCCAAGGTCAGGCAGGGCAGCAGCAGGTTGTACAGCAGTCCGCGCAGGGAGCCACTCCTATCGTTGACCTGGCTGAAGAGCAGCCTGGCCCGGGCGCCCCAGCCCCCAGCAGCAGCAGGTGCAGCAGGCCCAGCAGCCCCGCCTAGGGGCCGAGGCACTGGCTGCAGCTACTGAAATCAATCTAGGGAAGATTGGACGGCTGAGGAGGCAATTTCTTCCCTTTCAGCCCCTTCTGCAGTCCCTTAAAGAGCCAAGCGGCAATTACTTGGGGAGAAAAGGTAAGTGCAGGTGAAGAAATCTTCCTCCCCACACAGGGGCAAGCGACGTCAGCTGGCCACACCCCTCATCTGGCTGACA